ACAGTCTTTACCACGCACGGTTGCCACTATAGTGTTGTTAAGTTGCTGCAAGGAGTGCACGGAACCACCCGTCTAGCTCAGTTGGTAGAGCGCTGGCCTTTTAAGCCAGTGGTCGTGGGTTCGAGCCCCACGGGGGATGTCACCCTCTTTCATCTCGTGCGCTGCCACGCCGGTCAGTATGAATTTACCAGTCAGTCTGAATCTGCCCGCCAGTAACGTGCTTGTCATACCTACAAAACAAGAGAGAGACACGATGTTGCTTTGTCAGTACAGAGTCGTGGGCTTGTTCGTTGTTGTTCGAGTCGCGTGTATTGTGCTGTTGTTACGGTTGCGTCGGCCAGACACTGCAATGGACACGGTGGTGGAATGGTGGTTAAGCTTCTGTCAATCGAATCCGTACGTGATGGGTTCGAGTCCTCCCAAACGGAGGAGCCAAGTAAAGGCTGACTCGCAGAATAGTGAGCAACATGCACTGGTATTGCAGTACGTGCTTCACACAGTCTTTACCACACGCGGTTGCCACTATAGTGCTGTTAAGTTGCTGCAAGGAGTGCACGGAACCACAATATCAGTTGGTAGAGCGCTGGCCTTTTAATCCAGTGGTCGTGGGTTCGAGCCCCACGGGGGGTGTCACCCTCTTTCAGCTCGTGCGCTGCCACGCCGGTCAGTATAAATCTACCAGTCAGTCTGAATCTGCCGGCTAGTAACGTGCTTGTCATACCTACGAAACCGGAGAGAGATACGATATCGGTCTGTCAGTTCAGAGTCATGGGCTTGTTCGCTGTTGTTCGAGTCGCGTGTATCGTGCTGTTGTTACGGTTGGGTCGGCCGGACACTGCAATGGACAAGGTTGTGGAATGGTTAAGCTTCTGTTAATCGAATCCGTACGTTGTGAGGTCGAGTCCGCCCGGGCGGAGGAGCCGAGTAAAGGCTGACTCGCAGAATAGTGAGCAACATGCACTGGTATTGCAGTACGTGCTTCACACAGTCTTTACCACACGCGGTTGCCACTATAGTGCTGTTAAGTTGCTGCAAGGAGTGCACGGAACCACAATATCAGTTGGTAGAGCGCTGGCCTTTTAAGCCAGTGGTCGTGGGTTAAAGCCCCACGGGGGGTGTCACCCTCTTTCAGCTCGTGCGCTGCCACGCCCGTCAGTATAAATCTACCAGTCAGTCTGAATCTGCCGGCTAGTAACGTGCTTGTCATACCGACAAAACAAAAGAGAGATACGATATCGGTCTGTCAGTTCAGAGTCGTGGGCTTGTTCGGTGTTGTTCGAGTCGCGTGTATCGTGCTGTTGTTACGGATGGGTCGGCCGGACACTGCAATGGACAAGGTTGTGGAGTGGTTAAGCTTCCGTCAATCGAATCCGTACGTTGTGGGTTCGAGTCCGCTCGGGCGAAGGAGCTGAGTAAATGCTGACTCGCAGAATAGTGAGCAACATGCACTGGTATTGCAGCACGTGCATCACACAGTCTTTACCATGCACGGTTGCCACTATAGTCTTGTTAAGTTGCTGCAAGGAGTGCACGGAACCACCCGTCTCGCTCAGTTGGTAGAGCGCTGGCCTTTTAAGCCAGTGGTCGTGGGCTGGAGCCCCACGGGGGATGTCACCCTCTTTCATATCGTGCGCTGCCACGCCGGTCAGTATGAATTTACCAGTCAGTCTGAATCTGCCCGCCAGTAACGTGCTTGTCATACCTACAAAACAAGAGAGAGACACGATGTTGCTTTGTCAGTACAGAGTCGTGGGCTTGTTCGTTGTTGTTCGAGTCGCGTGTATTGTGCTGTTGTTACGGTTGCGTCGGCCAGACACTGCAATGGACACGGTGGTGGAATGGTGGTTAAGCTTCTGTCAATCGAATCCGTACGTGATGGGTTCGAGTCCTCCCAAACGGAGGAGCCAAGTAAAGGCTGACTCGCAGAATAGTGAGCAACATGCACTGGTATTGCAGCACGTGCTTCACACAGTCTTTACCATGCACGGTTGCCACTATAGTGCTGTTAAGTTGCTGCAAGGAGTGCACGGAACCACAATACCAGTTGGTAGAGCGCTGGCCTTTTAAGCCAGTGGTCGTGGGTTCGAGCCCCACGGGGGGTGTCACCCTCTTTCAGCTCGTGCGCTGTCACGCCCGTCAGTATGAATCTACCAGTCAGTCTGAATCTGCCGGCTAGTAACGTGCTTGTCATACCTACGAAACCGGAGAGAGATACGATATCGGTCTGTCAGTTCAGAGTCATGGGCTTGTTCGGTGTTGTTCGAGTCGCGTGTATCGTGCTGTTGTTACGGTTGGGTCGGCCGGACACTGCAATGGACAAGGTTGTGGAATGGTTAAGCTTCTGTTAATCGAATCCGTACGTTGTGAGGTCGAGTCCGCCCGGGCGGAGGAGCCGAGTAAAGGCTGACTCGCAGAATAGTGAGCAACATGCACTGGTATTGCAGTACGTGCTTCACACAGTCTTTACCACACGCGGTTGCCACTATAGTGCTGTTAAGTTGCTGCAAGGAGTGCACGGAACCACAATATCAGTTGGTAGAGCGCTGGCCTTTTAAGCCAGTGGTCGTGGGTTAAAGCCCCACGGGGGGTGTCACCCTCTTTCAGCTCGTGCGCTGCCACGCCCGTCAGTATAAATCTACCAGTCAGTCTGAATCTGCCGGCTAGTAACGTGCTTGTCATACCGACAAAACAAAAGAGAGATACGATATCGGTCTGTCAGTTCAGAGTCGTGGGCTTGTTCGGTGTTGTTCGAGTCGCGTGTATCGTGCTGTTGTTACGGATGGGTCGGCCGGACACTGCAATGGACAAGGTTGTGGAATGGTTAAGCTTCTGTCAATCGAATCCGTACGTTGTGAGTTCGAGTCCGCCCGGGCGGAGGAGCCGAGTAAAGGCTGACTCGCAGAATAGTGAGCAACATGCACTGGCATTGCAGCACGTGATCCACACAGTCTTTACCACACGCGGTTGCCACTATAGTGTTGTTAAGTTGCTGCAAGGAGTGCACGGAACCACAATATCAGTTGGTAGAGCGCTGGCCTTTTAATCCAGTGGTCGTGGGTTAAAGCCCCACGGGGGGTGTCACCCTCTTTCAGCTCGTGCGCTGTCACGCCCGTCAGTATAAATCTACCAGTCAGTCTGAATCTGCCGGCTAGTAACGTGCTTGTCATACCGACAAAACAAAAGAGAGATACGATATTGGTCTGTCAGTTCAGAGTCGTGAGCTTGTTCGTTGTTGCTCGAGTCGCGCGTATTGTGATGTTGTTACGGTTGGGTCGGCCGGACACTGCAATGGACACGGTGGTGGAGTGGTGGTTAAGCTTCTGTCAATCGAGTCCGTACGTTGTGAGTTCGAGTCTGCCCGGGCGGAGGAGCCGAGTAAAGGCTGACTCGCAGAATAGTGAGCAACATGCACTGGTATTGCAGTACGTGCTTCACACAGTCTTTACCATGCACGGTTGCCACTATAGTGCTGTTAAGTTGCTGCAAGGAGTGCACGGAACCACAATACCAGTTGGTAGAGCGCTGGCCTTTTAATCCAGTGGTCGTGGGTTAAAGCCCCACGGGGGGTGTCACCCTCTTTCAGCTCGTGCGCTGTCACGCCCGTCAGTATAAATCTACCAGTCAGTCTGAATCTGCCGGCTAGTAACGTGCTTGTCATACCGACAAAACAAAAGAGAGATACGATATTGGTCTGTCAGTTCAGAGTCGTGAGCTTGTTCGTTGTTGCTCGAGTCGCGCGTATTGTGATGTTGTTACGGTTGGGTCGGCCGGACACTGCAATGGACACGGTGGTGGAGTGGTGGTTAAGCTTCTGTCAATCGAGTCCGTACGTTGTGAGTTCGAGTCCGCCCGGGCGGAGGAGCCGAGTAAAGGCTTACTCGCAGGATAGTGAGCAACATGCACTGGCATTGCAGCACGTGATCCACACAGTCTTTGCCGCGCACGCTTGCCACTATAGTGCTGTCAAGTTGCTACAAGGAGTGCACGAAACCACTCGTCTAGCTCAGTTAAAAGGTCGTCTGTATTACTATTATTCAGACATTGTGACTTCTTAACTTACGTAGCTGCAGAATACGGTAATCAGGATGGTGCGTAGAGATAAAAGGACGCAGCCGGAAGTGTTGCTGCGGGCAATCTCATCTAATTTTTTGTTGTGTGTTTTGTTGTTTTTTGTTGTGTTTGTGTGTGTGTTTTTTTGTTTCGTTTTTTTCTTTCGTTTTGGCTTCAGAAATTGAAAACTGAAGCAAAAATTAACAACCTGAACAACGCGACGCGAGGCGACCGAGTGCACGAAGAAAGACCCGGCAGCCAACGTGCGCCTACAGTGACCATCGGGTGCAGCACTGCCACACCAGTAGTGCGGGTGAAGACAGACGACGCGGTCTCCCGTCTACAATCCCTTCCTGAGACGGCCCACACGTATAGTCGCGCGGTGTCTGATTGCTTGGGAATTTTTAGAGGAAATTTCTGGAAGGTTTCTAAATCTATCCCAGAGGTTCCAGAAAGTTTCTAAATATCTGGAAATATCTGATTGCTCCCTCTTTTTTTTGTGCAGCTATCGTGAGCGCAGTTCTGTTACATATTGTTGCCCAGGTTAGCATGTTGCCGATCCAATTTAATGCTGATGTAGCTCAAACCGGACCACGGGTCAGCGAAAGCGTCTCACCAGATGGTGGCTGCGGGCTCGAGGCCGGAGAGGGATGCGGAGGTGAAGGGTGGTCGACTGCATGGTTGGGGTCGGCTTGGGTGACACCAGTTCCGAAGAGGAGGAAGAACCGACACCGAACGCAGACGTAGCACCAAGGGAATCAAGTCTTTCCAGACGACGCGGACGAGGTGGAGAATAATTTTTCAGAGCACACAGTAGCTTGCATAATCGACCGCCGCGGGAGTATGAGCGCACGCCAGTACTTGGTCCAGCGGGAGGACAGGACGGCGGAATGGAAGTGTGCAGGCGAACTGTGGAACTGTGCCGACTTGGTATCAGCCTGTGCCCGGTCATGGAAAAGCACCCAGATCGGATCAAGTCGTATGCCGAGTTCATTTCGATGGACATCTTAAGTATCAAGTTGATGGCGGATAGCCCTAAGGACGACTGTGCATTTCGTGCTTTCCAGATGGATAACTCATTGGAGGCTTGGACAAGCAGGCCGCGGAGCTAGGGCGGTTGGGCGAAGATTACCGAAGACGAATGGTGATCAGCAACAGCGGCCAGGACGGGACTGAGGTTCGGACAGCCGACGAAGTTCCTCCGGGACGAAGTTCCACGCACAGGATGGACGATTAATCGGAAATCTTTCATTGAAAACTGGTACACCGGTGGGGGATCAGGACCTGGCGGCATTGTCTAGCTGGTGTGGCACCAACGATCCTTTCGGAGATGGTGCGTATCTTGTGTAGGCGCTTAAGACCTCTCAGCGCGGACATTGCATCGCCGTGCAAAAGATGGGGGACACGATGGTCGTGCGAAAGGATGGATTCACGACCGGTATCATTAACCACTTGTGCATGAGAAGAATCTGTTCTGTGAGAATTTGTCTGATGCAGCTCGCGTCAGAGTAGTAAGTGATCGGAACAATGGAAATAATCCGATTATAGCAAACTCAGAGTACAGTGAAGCGGGGAGTGGGAGTTGAAGCACCGGGATCCTTGGAAGACTGGAAGGAGTCGGAGCGATGACGGACAACAAGTGCAGCGGGATGGAATTTCAGGAAGCTGTCGAAAGAAGCATCGCGAGACAACGCAGCAGTGGCACGCTGAAGAGCCTTCCTCATACCCATATCATATTGGCGGCGAAGAAGATGACGCAGGTGGGCACTCGAAGTCGAGAAGATGACCATCAGGGCAGGGGACGTCGGTGTGGACCGCCGGCCGTCAAACAGACACTTGTTCCGGTAAAACCAGACGAAGCGGAGAGTCACAGCACGAACAGTGTGCCAGATGTTGTGGATAATGGTTGCATCGGGCACCCACTCCTTCCTTTAACGCGGGCGAGTCCCCATCACAATGTATACCCACGACGCCGGCTTTGTAAAGAAAGGATCCAGTAAACGGTCGATGTGGCGCCATAGGTGTGTAGCGAGGTCGCAGTCGAAGAAAATATGGCGCTCGGTATCGATAGCGTGGGACCCCTATAGCACGCACGATAGATGTTGGGATAAGAAGCAGCCAAAAACCAGAACCGGGAACGAATCGGAAGAAGACGGAAAAAAGGCAAACGAGAAGATCCTCAAAAACAGGTAGAAGGGTACGGCGGAAGTGGGAGGAAGACCGCACGAAAGATAGGATTTGACCGGGACACGTGGACCCGGCGTGGAGCGTGATGGGATGAGACGTCGCCGGCACGAGATGTTTCCAAACCACGCCAAGAAGAGCAGACTTCGGAAGTGCGGGTATGAAATATATTCGACATCCAACGGCGCAGCCTAGACGTGGTAAAACCCGTCGGTCCCCGGGAGCGGGCGGCAGAACAAGCCCCGTCGCATCCAGGCGCTCGACAATTTGGGTGGTTTCTGTATAGAACACGCAGTTGTTATGGCTGGGTCCAGGAGGACCAGAGACAAATGTGAAGTCAATGTAGCGCTGGACTAACACCTGCTGCGACGGCCAGGCTTCGCCGACAAGCATGAAGTCCGAAAACGACTGTACACCGAAGACTTGGAACACACGTAGCCAAAAACTTCGCTGCAGTTCAACGACCATACCGATACACCGCCGATGTGGGGTAGTGGTCAGAGCCCGGGGTGATTTCTCTCAATGAAGTGATGAGACTTAGTGGGACCAAATAGGTTGACAGAGACCGTACCAAGCGCGGTAACTAGGAGGAAGGTCATGCCACGTGATTACCAACGAACAATGTACCACAGCTACCTTCCACCATGCAAAAGCCAGTTTTCACTTAAAATGTCGCCATGGAGCAACGGGGATATGGTGAGAAAGTCCAAGGCGTGCCGCCGACCCGTGGACGGGATGAACCTCAGAATCAGTTCAGAGCTAGCTGTCGTCCAGTCTCTTACCGATGGCGACTCCAATCCACGGAAAAGCTGCAAGAGCAGTTGGAGCCGTTGACGCTTCAGATGAGCAGCAAGATCAGAAAGTCCCAACCCTCCATCACAGCAGCGCTAGTAGAGAGAAGAACTGGGAAGGAGCTGAACGTGGGATGACTCGCGGTCGTGTTTTCGACTTAACACGAACCGATTCAGCATCGATTGCCAACGCCGCACAGTTGTCGTCGAAATGGACACATGTTGAGTGTAGTGCCACAAGCGAGAAAGAATCATAGTCTGGGCTACCAGCAAACGACCCCGAAGCGCACAAGCCCGTCGGTACCACAATCTGAAGCCGTCGTAGAAGCGCTGCTCAAGAAAATCGGTGATCACGGTATCGACCGAGGACTGCCCAAAGGGTATGTCAAAGTTATTCACCGTATCCGTCCGACTGAGAACTCTCATACCGGGATGAAGTGGACATGCGTGATTCCGGTTGAGCGCGAGCAGCACAGACTTTTGTAGGTTAAGTTTGGCACCGGACCCCTGGCAGTAATCTTGGACATGAAGCAGCTGGTCCTGCGGGTTCGCAATTGAGCTGCTCAGGAGAGTGGATTCATCAGCGAAGAATGTGCCGGCGGTAGTGTGGTCCGCATTCAGACATACGCCATACTACTCGTATTTCCGGAGGAGATTGCCAAGAGGCTCGATGGTCAAGATGAAAAGAAGGGATGATAACGGATCCCCTTGCTTTACACCGCGTGTCGGGAAGAGCGCTGGTTGGACGTTCTGATTGATCATCAGATGGCCCGAGGGTCCGTGTAGAGAAGCCGGATCCGCCGCGTAAATGTCGACCTAAGTCCCATGCGCTCGAGTAGACGAAATATGTAGTAATAGTTGACTATATCGAAGGCTTTTTCAAAATCCAGAAACAGCGCGTACGTTTCGTCATCCCGGCCGGTAACCAGGTCTATAAGATCGGCCAGAAAGCGCACGTGGTGATGAATTGATCGTCCCTTGACAAATCCCTTCTGGTCGGGGTGGATCAAATCGGGGGTCGACTGTTGGAGGCGACACGTAAGCGCTTTCGACATTATCTTCACATCAACTTGTACAAGAGCAATCGGGCGGTAGTTTCCAGAAGCCGCACACGACCCTTTCTTGTGAAGCAGAACAACTGCTGACTTCCGCTGGGACGGTAGGAGCGTACCGCGGTGGGGATGATCTTTAAAGACGATACTAAGGCATTCTATGAAGACGTCAGGGGCGACCTGGAAGAAACCATCTGTCAGACCATCCATCCCAGGTGACGAAGTCGCGCGCATGTGGCAGATGGCGGCTGCCAAGTCCGTAGCAGTTACCGGGGCGTCCAAGATGTCACGGTCGAGGTAGAATACAGATCAAACAACTGTGTTGAGGAGCGTCCGCTATAATGCAGCATGCGAAGGAGGACCCAGGCCAGCCGGACTGGTGGGATTTCCCATCTCATACCCCCAGTGCTCCAGGAATCTTTGATATATGTACGTGGGATTCGTCAAAAGCGACCCATCGGGAGTCAAGAATTATTCAATGGAATTACGTCTCAAGCTTGTGTCCAGTGGGCGGAAGAAATGCTATGTTGATCTTTCTGAATTGACCGCTTGGAGATCGAAGGCAGCATCTTAGTTATATTGGCTGGTGCGAGTCACAGTCTCCTGGTAGTAACGCATGGTAGCACCGAATAGGTCATGGTACTGAGCACACGAACTTTCGCGAAACCGGGCCGCAGCACGATCAAGACGTATCCGAGCCGCAACAATGGTCTGGGCGTCTTGAAGGCGAAGCTTCTTCTGGACCGCCTGAAGCTGAGACTTGATGGATTTCTTCCACGATTCCCAGATCTTACCCGGGTTTGAGGCAGAACGCAGTCTGCCCCGGACTATCTCTGCTTCTCGTTTGATTGCAGAAACAACCAGAGAGTAACCCAGCAGATAACTCGCAAACTTCCAGTATCCGCGGCCGTGGAGCTGGGATCCCGACCTGAAACTCACACTGTGAGCAAGATGGTCACCAGCATGTTGCGGAAGAAATTACCGAGAATCGTCATAGAAATTATTTGAGAAGGACTCCGAAATCAATATGTAATCGAGACGGTTCTTTCAGGGTAGAGGACCAGTAAAAACTCGGTTGGTGTCGAAGTGGATCCTCCAAGCGTCGACGACACCGAGTTTGGCCATCCATTCAAGACAGCTGGACCGACTTGGGTCGTAGCGCAAGTCTGGAGTAAACGAGCCACGCCGAGGGTAAAAGGGGGTATTGAGGTCTCCCAACACAAGATGGGTCGCGTGGTCTTCAAATTCCTCCGTGATTAAACTCGAGTAGAACTGGCGTTTTCTTGGCGGTCGACCGACGCATAAACGTTGTGGAGGTAGTATGGTAAACCATCGACCATCACTCGCACAACGTGATAACGCACAGTGACGGAGAGACGGTTGACTTCAGCCGCTGAGTCGAAACCGGGAAAGTCAGAGCGAAGCACTGTGACGACCCCGTGGCTCCTCCCCCGTGTCGGCCGGTGCTGATGGGAATTCGGGTCATTGACGAAGACTTTGTTTTTGAAGCTGGAGTCAAGGTGAAACTTGAACGTCGAAAGATGGGTGGCGTCACCGAACTTGGTTTCTTAAAGACACGAGACTGAGTGGTTGGAGATCAAATTCTCAATTAGAAGATGACCGTTCTGCTTAATTCCGTTAGTTCTAACTGTAAGAACGCTGATGTTGCTCCAGGATGTCCGTGCCGAGGGGCCTTTAGCAACGGGTGGCCAGCGCACTCGCTAGCATCAAAACCCCGCCATCGACCTCATGAAGCCTCAAGACGGACGAGTCTTCGGGGTAGAAGCCTTCAAGCTTCTGAAGAGTTTCGAGTGTATCCAGAAGGTGTCCCTGCCATCGCACCTCCTTCCATTGCTGCATGCAGTGAGCATCCAATTCGGACCGCAGAAGACGGAGGAGGGTGTTGGGGTGGAGAAATCGCGTATGATGCGCAGGGATCCACTCCACTTGTTGGCAAGTGATGTACTGGATCCAATGGTCATTGGAAAAGACAACGGGGGCAATGGACATGAGCATGAGCTCAAACATGCCCAAGGCTTTGGACGCACGAGACAGCACTTCAATGGTGGGTGTGGATGTCCACCACTTGGCACACACAGTGTAGATCTCACCGCGTTTAAGGGGAACCGCTGTTCCCATCAGCTTCTTCCATTTGGTGTTGAGCGTGGTGTCTTCCGTTAGATTGGCCGCGCAAAGCACGCGGTTGATTTCATGAAGCTGAGCGACCTCGTCAATCGCCGACCCACCCTCCAGCATCGTCAGCGCAAGTGCAATGTTGAAGGCGAGAGAACACTCGACCGCTTTCTTAGTGAAGTGGCCGGGGCTCGCGGCATTTTTGAGAAGCTTGCACATGCTGCCGATCTTGCTGTTGGCGGCATCAATACAGTCGGGAATAAAGCTAAGGAGAGCCTTGTTCTCGTCATTGAGCATGGCCTCAGCCACTTCCGGCACAAACGAATCCGTCGAGGATTTCTTGATCGTCGTGTGGTGTTTCTCGATGAATACAGTGGACTCGGCCGATGTCTGTAGCGCATTTGGACGTTTCACGCCCAAAGGAAAAACCGGATAAAGAAATCCTGACGCCAGATCCTCCGTCAAGTCGGTCGACTCGAACCGGACCTCCATCGTCTGGAGTGATTGAAATTAATTGGCGGTGGCAATGCCATCCAATGGAAGCTTCGATTGCTTTGCAAGCATGTTGGAGAAGTCAAACGCGTTGCGGCCGCGTTTTGTTGTTGTTGAAGCTACGAAACCGTCGTCCACGGTCGTAGTCAGCAATAGTAAGGCCGTCTTCCGGGCATTTGGGATACCAGGAGGAGTGATGGTGCCTTGAGATCTACGAAATGTCGAGACTGACAAATCTTTCGAGTTTCCGGATGAATTCGGGACGATCTGAGTGGGTGCCAATGTCTTGTTAATCTTAGCCCCATGGCGGAGCTGATCTTCCCGTTTCTTGGCCTCCGCAACTGCTCTTTGAAGTGTTGTCTGCTGGAAAATCTTTATAGGAACCACAACTGCAGGCGCTTTCACAGCGTGCGCATAAGACTGCGCGGGTGGACTCAGGTTTTGGCGCGGATACGTGGCAGGCACCGGCACCGTACCTCGAGAGTCGCTAGTTGTCGTGCCCAGGTCAAGTTCGTGGTGAGAGCGATACTTAAATAGCGTACGCTCCGACTGGAATGGGGCATTTTTTCCATGAGCTGGGTGGAGCTTGTTGTCGAACAACACCTGATCGCATACGCTGTCCATTCACGATTAGCGCGCTGGGACATGAATGTGTCAATAGATACACGCGCCAAGTGGCAGACGTAATGCCAGTCGCAAGTTTCACCCCCAAAAGGAGTCACAGACAGGCTTGCAGCCAAGTAGAAACAGGCGCTGAAGAATCAACAGGGTGTCGGTGTTCGAGTCCATGTTGGAGATGTCGATGAAGTACTTACCACCAAGAACATCAAACTCCTTGAACGTGTCAACACCGCCCATAATGTCCACCTTCGTGCACTCAAGGCAGAGACAGGCTTCTTTCGACTTCACCTTGATGCGGAGATTACCTCCAGGCAGCTTGGAGATTTGGCCAATCTCATGACTGCGGTAGAGGTCCTCAAGAGAGTCATTTCCGTGGTGTGTACCAGAGAGGGACATTATGATCTTCTGGAGCGGAGTCTTCGCGAGCGTCCGACCAGTAGTAATCATCATATCGTACTTGACACGAATAAGAGCATACGGTCTCGCCTGGTCGATACGAGAAGCAATGAACGACTAATCACCACCAGCGGCGTATTGGCGCTCAATCCACTCGATGTCACTTGCGAGAGGCTGGGGAGTCTCAACCCGACGACGCGCAGCGTCAGCCTCGGCGTGGTCGCGGCGAAGGTGTTCCTGCTTACCAAGCACATCAGCCATCGTCGGACGCGGATCAGAGCTCGGAGGCGAAGAGCCGGGTTCAGCGACGGAAGACGACTGGTCCATTGGAACTTCATACGTTGGCGTGGCGATGGGCGATAGAGATCCAGAAGGCGGTCCGTCCTTGACCTCAGCATTACTACCGTCGGTGAGTTAAAACGGCGCAGTTTCAGATGGGGCCACCGTCCGAGATTTGGAGGGCCCCAAATCGTTGGACGAGGATGGGCCATCAGGTGCACCATCTGTACCAGCGGTCATAGGCATACAATCGAATCCGGAGCACCATGTGGTGTCTGATCGGGGACGAGAGAAGAGGCAGCTGATAGATTTTTCCATGGGAAAAGACTGAAAGAGGGAGTGCAGGAACGCGGGGGAAGAGGGTTCTTCTGGATTTGACGTGGGTAGTAGCTGGTAAATTGAGAAGAACCCGTCCAGCTCAGTTGGTAAAGTGCTGGCCTTTAAGCCAGTTGTCGTTGGTGCAATCCCCACGGGGGAGGCCACCCTCTTTCTTCTCGTGCACTGCCGCGCAAGTCAGTCGAAACTGCCAGCCAGTATACATGCCGCGCAAATACGTAATTCGTCACTACAATATCATCTTCGTTATCGGTTGACGATAATGTCGTCTCGAATATCGGAGTGCCTTTTTTGGCGTTACGCTTTCTCTTGCGTCTCGAGCCGCTGCTCGAGACTGGCACGTCTCTTTCGCTGGAGGATGAAGTACAATCCGCTAGACGTAGGAGCTCTGTATTCACCACGTCGTTCACATACGGATCCATTGTCCGTTCATTCTCGTCGATAAAAGGGGGTTTGTCGTCGTCAACCGCCTTCACTGTATGTAACATCCTCAACTCGACCTCCTCGGTAACACTTGGGAGCCTACGCGCTACCGATGTGTATGTATGCAAAAGACTCTGCTTGACAGCCTCGATGTTGATTTAGAGTCTATGTTAGGCCTATGTGTTTGTAGGCGGGAGATTCTGCTCGACTGAATCGCTAGAAATAGGAAGCCCCTTTTTTATCGACGTTTGTGTATGCGGGAACCTCTGTTCGACTGCATCGTTACATTTCATGATCCGCTGCTTGCACGATATCTATTTCCCGGGAACTTCTCTTGGATTGCCAAATTATGTGAATATCTGTGTGATCGAACATACCAAGCAGAGAGGGCCATATTAATCTCTGTGATGACATAGAGTCGTACCAAATTCGTTCACGACTCTGCAATGTGGCTATTTGGATGACTCAACCAACAAATGAGTGAACACTTCACTCACGTCATTTTCTGCAACGTTGTTTTACAGACCGAGATCGACAATCTATTGTCGGCTGATACCGCGACAACCACGGTATCCTACGATACAATCAAATGCACCGTTCATCTCGTACATCAGAAATACATTGAAGCTGTAAAATTCGACGAACGTGTACGACAGAATAACTGTACTACGCGAATACGCCGTGGCTTTCCATCAGTGAGGTTGGCAACAATATCACTTGAACCTTCTCAAATCGTAATCATAGACGGGAAATGAACACATGTTGTGCTCGAAAGAAGGTGTTGGATGGACCCCAGTCCGACAATGCTCGGAGTGGTCGCTTTACTACAGCAACTATGAGAATATTAACAATCAGTCTCGAATCGTTGCGTATGGTGGTGGCATTGAAGTGCGAATGTATCAGTTCAGTGCTAGAAAGCCGATCTACCACCTGCTTACTCGGATATAAAATGCGATCAGAAAGGTGCCCCGCATCTACTAGAACCGCTCTTTTTTGTGGTGTAACCGACAACACAGCTTCTCTACGTAGGGCGTTTGTTTTCATGGCAACAAACGCTGGTGATCGGCAGACGACCGCATGACGGCATGTATTACAGCACAAAACAATCCTTCATGTTCTGACAATGACGTCAGGGTTATATTGCTTGCCACGACCACGTGATGCATCAATTACATCGAGTTGTACAGAGTCTGGATGAAACGCACGCAGGCTTTGAGAATCTGCCTGTCAGTAGGACGACGCCACCGTGCAATATTTACGAAGCGTGAGGGCAAATGCATCCTCGTTTCAGTGAATGTGAGGCAATATAGCGTCATTGCCTCTTGCATACCCGAGACGAAGACATGGACTTGTAAAGCCATGTCGATCGGCTGCACGGTTATACACGAAGCAAATTGTCGCTTCTTCTGCACGTAATCGAGCATTGACAGCTTACCCTGACGTTATATAGAAGTCTGCACGCAAGCGTGACTCATCGTGAGGATGCTCGGACGCCAGTCGTACGTCGCGCTGGATATCTCCCAGCGTGGAAAACGCCATCTCATACATAACGAGCTTCCCATTCTTTGTCTCTTTTTAACAAGCTGATACAGCAGGAAATTAATCTTGGTTTTTGGAGCGTTGGTCAAAATTGACGCCATCGCGACAACCGTCTTCTCAAATTAGCGATAAAGGGGGAAACGATTCGGACCATCACCGGTGTACGTCGACGTCTCCATTAAAATTGCGCAATAATGGGAGGTGCGCGAGGGGATCTCAAGTCACCGATTAGCTTTGGCGAGCTCAGGTATCTTTCGTTCTTAAATGGCGGCACAATGTTGCTCGGGCGTCGCTTTTCTCAGCAGGGAAGTCACAAATATTTCACTGGACACCGACGCAAAAGGTGGTGTAATGCCTTTCATTTCACAGTAGTGAGATGGGAAAAGTCTGCATGCTCCAGCAAAAACGCTGGAGCCTTTGATTATTAGTTCATACTTATCTCAAACTTGGTCACGGGAAAGACTGCGAGCGCTACCATGTGTAACAGGGTTAGATCCCCGCTTCCGTCTTACACTCTATAGAGCGTGAGGGAGCGCTCTCATTGATAAGGTGAATATAGCTCGTTGTTTATGTTTCTAGAATTCACAATAAGTGCGAATATGTTCTTTAGCTCATGGAAACCACTCAAACATAGATATTTCTGTAATCGGCTAATTTTTGGGTCTTGCACCCCCAACAATCGACCACTAATAAATAGACGCTTAGTATCTGCTATCCGAATACTGCCCATACTTAGTATATGCTATTATGTAAAAAAAAACTGGGAACCGGTATTTCCCCCTTGATTTTCTGGTTAAAACCCCTCTAATCAATAAACGCGATCTAATTGGTCAATAATGAGTCACGAGTAGAGTGAGCGACGTCTTTAAAAGTTGTGTATTTAATTCAATTTTTGTCGTAATTGGATACAATGTAACCTTTTTATGCAAAATTGTCGTGTGGTGAACGTCATTGTTGGCGATCCAGCCACAGTTTTCGTTGTATTTAAATCAAAAAATGTGAAAGCGTAGATGATTGAGTGATAAATCATCATATCGAACCAAAACAAGTAGCGATCAACATCACTAAAAACGCGATAAATCGATCAGATTTTGCGTAGGTGAAGCAGCCGTTGCATGAGGGTGGGTCACAACGCACAAAGACGTGAATGTTTAATCAAATCAACACCGACAGAACTTCACGAAATCAATTTGATCTGATTATATAAATTTGACTTTTTTTTCTTTTTGTAAAATTTTCTCATTATTCTCTGTAAAAGTCTATAAACTGTGTAGGCACTATCACTCGTCTATTGCTACCCTTGCTGACACGAATATTTATATCCTTAGCTTCATTGATAGCACGGCAACTGGATTATCGTAAAGTAGAATTTCACTTGTTGCGGCCCTTAACATCTTCGCGATAAGAGGGGAATCCCATTAGCTACGTATGCGCGCTTGTCAAAATCCCCCCTGTGCACGGCCATTTGTAAGATGTGCTGCATGCTCTTTTGTGGACCTGCATTGCACACAAAGGATCTGGAACAGCACAGTAATGTAGGAACCTATACAATAACGAACAGGACATTTAGTTACGACTCGCGTTTTTTACACGCGACACGAACGATCCGAGTAAGATTAAAAATTAATAATAAAGAAAGAAGCAGTCGTACCTCCCACTAATGCAGAACCCTCTACGTGTAAGCGTTATAGGGAATTTTTGCTGTTGTAAAGGCGTCGACCCTTAGATATGATGAGCGATTGAGCGTACCTGCGGACGTAAAAGCTTTGAGTCTACAAACGTTTCATGCAAATTTTGACAGAATCTTGCGTTAAAAAACACATTAGAACGTTAGCGAACTACACCGAATCTGGTCAAACAGATGTGTAAAACCCGGATATTGTAATGTAATACCCTCTTGGCATGTCTATCAATCAGCCAATCATGTAGCGTTATATCAAACTGAGGGATTTTACCAGAAAACCGAGGGAAGAAAAATAGTTTTAAAAGACCCAGGTCCCCATAATTTAATGGTTTGCCTTATTACATCAAGCAGGGCAATTTAATACAATCATCAGATACTGATGCGTTTAACTACTCGATATAGCTTAAATTATGGGTTTGCGACAATGTAAAAGGAGTCAGAAACAATGCAAGCACGCGGCTGACCGCCTCTACTGATGGACCAACTATGTTTAGATTTTCAAATCGATCATTGTTAGAGTCAGAGCATAAAGAGCGCCTGCTGAGCTAATTCTAGTTGCTCGGCGTTGTCGCGTGTGTCAGTGCGCTGGACACAACACGCGAACTTGCTCCTTCGTGCCGCAAGACGATAGCTGAGTCACGGCTAAGAACACAGCTAGAACCACGGAAGCAAAATGTAAAGACGAGAGAGAAAGACTGTGCAGTCTCGGCTTAAACGTAAGAAAAAAGAAATTGATCAAAATGATGATAAATGTCAAACTTATTTTGGCCAATAGATATGTGTTTTGGTGAGCAGCAAACGAGTGATATTTAAATTGGATACAATACCGGGAAATTGAAATTTATTCGGGTAAAATTGCAGGCGACGAAACAAGAAGGTAGCGGAGGTCGAGTGTTTTCCATCAATTGTCGCGATTATATCGGGCCGTTTTTGTGTTTGTTTATTTTGATTATCCTTAGCGTTTTCCAAATATCGGGGGCTTCTTTTTGTGATTAATTTTCTTTTCCATTTTAAATTTACAAATATCTTGAGTAAACTTTCTAAATATCAAAGATATTGTTTGGTGTTAGTGATTAAATGGAGTATTTTCATATTTTTCATGGAAAAACAGTCAGAAAGAAGCGCAAGTCTCCTCCATTGCGTGCATTGCAGCGCATTCTGAGCCGTAGACGAGGAATGTTACAACACCAATTCAAGTCTGAGTTGACGAAGACGCAAATAATCGTTAGTGTTAACGTCTGCATTATTGCTACGCATTCATTATGCGGAAGCGTTTATAAAAAATAAATGGCATGAAAACGGATACTAGCATGCACCATCTACGTGGCGGAGCTCTCAGAACCATCGACCCGTCATCAACTGCTTTAACGCGACGTTTCAAATACAATTAAGGACCGTGTGCAAACGTATGAATCAGCTGCTTTTTACTTTTCCTGTTCGTGGCCTCATACTTGAAGCCGCGGTCGTCTGCTTTTCTTGCCCTTGGACTACGCGCGCATCGCCACTACTATCCGCGGCGTGCATTACCATTTCCACCGATTATTCCACCATCGCGTCTAATTTTGCCTCCATTCGCGCCATCGCTGTCGCCAACTTGTCGATATCAGCAGTGTGTTGACCTAGTGTATGGAACATTGCTCCCTGCTGTGTTGCTAACTGCTGCTGAGTTTCAGTAGTGCGGCATAGCAGATCCATGAGCATCGTCTCCATCTTCGGACCTGCCGTCACTTGACCATCGCCAGTGTTAGCTGCTACGAGATCTTGCGACGTCCCAGAAACCGGTTGAGCCACAACTTGGTTCGCGATTCCATATCCTGATCCCCGGAGCGGCTCAGCGGTGCGCTTCATATTTTCTCCCTGGTGCATGTCATCATCAACAACTTCCACCGCTTCACCATTATCAAGAGGCGTGGCCACCGCGTTCTTGCGGTCCTCCAGATTCTTCATCGCCACGTTCGATAGCTTTTCGAGCGTTGCAATATCGCACGTATTACGCGGCTGCGTATCGAACACAAACACTGTTCCGAGCAGGTGGCCGGACGGCGTACAAATCGGTGCTCCAGCATAAAACCGGATCTTCGCCGCACCCGTCACCAGCGGATTCTTTGCAAATCGCTTGTCCAGTAGAGTGTCCATAACGACCATCGGCTCCTTGGACATGATGGCGTGCGCGCAGAAAGATACAGACCGCGGCACTTCGTTCTGTGCGAGGCCAACGCTAGCCTTGAACCACTCGCGGTCCTCGTCCAGCAGACTCACAGCCGCGATTGGGCTCTTGAGAGCATTGCTCGCAAGGTCACAGATAATATCAAACACGTCTTCACTAGGCGTATCCATGATGTCAAACCCACGGAGAACTTCGAGGCGGTCAGACTCACCCGGTACAATCGGGGGCTTGGGCCACGGGTGGTCCCAGCTAAAGTCGAGCGGGTAATCGAAGTCAGGCTGCTGGTAATCGCGCGAGAAGTGCGACAAATCACCCTCTGAATTTCCCGTAGGCGAGTGAAAGTTCTGCGCCTCCCAATGCTCTTCGCGCGGCGGAGGCGACGTAGCTGTGCCAGCTGAGCCAGACGTAGGAGCAGCAGGTGGCGCTTGTGGATTGGCCTGGCTGTTGGCGTGCGACAGGATACAAGACATACACACTCGAACAAGGGAGCGACCAATAACAGGTAGCTCTGCCTCTTTCTTCAGCGTACAGTTGCCACACACTACTTCGCCACACTATAAGGGGACCAAACAGAGCGATACGAGAGTCACGACAACGTAGGGTTTGTTAGCACATGTCGTAGTCGCAGTGCCCGCTGCGTAAACGCTACTGTACCTTGCGACAGTGGTGTTTTCGCCGAAAGCGTGTAAAGTTGCGCGTGCAGACGTGACAGCGGTACCGTTCCGTGTCCAGCACCCAGTCGTCCTGGTGGCGCAGCTGGTCGATAGTCAGCACGTCATTGCCACCGATGGTACTGCTGCCCTTGAGTCCTTTGCGCGACATAGTCTAGAGTCTGTCTACCTAAGGAACAACAACAGGGAGGGGACAAAACCACCAAATCTTTTCAGCTTCTTTTCGTCCAGCGCATACATCCACAGAGATCAAGGGGCGTCAGGGACTCACGTCGCAAGCGCGTTCCGCTCTTTGTTAGGGCGGCGCAAAGGAGGGGGGAGACTTGACCTGATGGGCGGACGGACGGAGGACGACGGTCTGAAGGACACGCGCGCTCTCTTCTTTGCTCGCTTGCTCGCTGCCTTCCGCGTCACGTGTGTACACGAGAGTCGGGCGCCAATCTGTTGAGTAAGTGGCGTTGTCTGGGCTTACTTCGCCACGGCTGGTCTGCGGGGAGAAAGTATACAAACTCCAACTGCTCCGTTTATCACAAAGAAAGACCGGCTCGGTCTTTCTTTGCACATTCGTCCCCTCGTCCGTCGTCGTGGGGTCGCAGCCGAAATGGGCACCACCTGAAAACTGGTAGTATTGTAAGTGCCATAAATCATACTGCAGTCATCGAGCGATCGAGCAACCGACCAGTGCCTGACCCGCACACGCGCTCTCTCTCTCTCTTTAATTTCATAAAGGCGGTTCAAGTGGGTTGAAGTGTAGCGTAATGCGTAAAAAAGGTATTTGACGACGGCTAGAGCGCGTATGTACAGTGCCATGTGTAAAAGGGTCTTTGACAGGGAATATGCATCCTGAAGTAGGTGAGTAGTATCTTGTTGCGTACAAGCAAGCAGACTATTCAAAACAGGCAGAGCTCTAGGTAGGCAAGGCAAAGATGGTCGACAAACTGTGAACGCATTTGCAGGTGTTCACTTGATCATCGTTAACGATCTCGCGACCATGCAGCTCTTTTGCTATGGCTTTCGTATGCGAAATTTATGATTTCCTTCGCAAATATGTCGCATTGCGGATGATGGCAGAGAAACGACAGAATGACTAAACCGCCTCTAACAAATTAGCCAGAGTTGCTCGATTGGTTCAATTGACGGCAAGGGTGGAGCGTGCCGTTCCAGAGGCAGGTACATGTCACCTAAGTGGAATTTTGCTGCTGTACTGTGGTAGACTTACCATAGCGATCAGTGCGTGGCTCTTTTACTCGTTCCACCCCCGTGATAGTATCTCGGTGCAGCTTGCCCTGGCCGTAAACTGCAAGGAACCGTGAATATATCGTTTTGCAGACGAGCTTTCGAGTTCGTTTAGCTTGCGCGCTTCATATTCTACCACATTAGCTAGACACTTACGCCGATGCATGCACTTCATGGTTCTTTCTATTGCCGCTGAGAGTGTCGAATAAGGCTCAACAATTGCTTCGACAAACCTTGTCGTGCGCACTGCATTTCTACGCTTCGGTCCGGACTCGTGCTTGACATACTTTTAACAACGTCACAAGGTATCGGTGTCATAGGGTTCATGTCGTATGAGAATCCATCACATTCAGACAACATTTATCCCTTTCTATTTGTCGCAAGTCCAATATGGCGAGCCGTCTGAAGGAGTACCGCTACTACCTCAGCAGCGGCGTGAGCACGGGCATATCGGTCAAGATCTCATTGGTAGAGCTGGCACCAGCCCTGGGATGTTCCGTCAGTAGCGATGCACCTAAGCGTGCTTCGGCCGAGACACCTCTCGCAGGACTGGAGCAGCTCGCAGGCTCGTCGTCCGATGTACGCAACTCGTCCATTGGCGAGATCTTCTTGACGGCGCAGGTCTTTTCTGACGGTCTCCCGCTGCATCCTATGGTTGTGAGGTACGTGCTGCTTTTCTATTGATCAGAGTAGAGTACGTTGTAGGTTGACGCTATGGGTTGCTATCCGTTGACCTCTTTGCAGTTCTAAGAGTCCCACCAAATGCAGTAACTCGACGATCTACTGGAATGAATGGATTTCCTTTCCCGTGCGCTATCGTGACCTATCTCGCAACTCTCTTCTGGCCATGACGATCTGGAGTGTGGGGTGGGTCCCCATTGGCGGTTCTACCATCTCTTTCTTTACCAAGCAAGGCGTACTCCGTGACGGTGTGCAGTGTCTTCGCATCTGGGAAGGGCGCGAGGCCGACTCGTCTCCCGACACGAAAACTCCGTCTGAAGTCGATGAAGAGTGGGTTAGACAAGAGTGTTTCCGACTCGACAAGCTTCGTGAGAAGTATGAGCGCAAGGAGATTGCGCGCAACGAATGGATGGACAGTGTTACAGATCGGCGAATTGCTCGTATTCGAAGAGGCAGCGAGCCACCGACGAGAAAAGACGCCCTCGGACCTTTCTGCTCGTACCGTAAAGACGCTTTGTTGTGGCTTGAGATGCCGTACTTTGGAGATGTCGTTGTCTACGAGGAGGAGCCCTACTCGCAGCGCAATCTGACGTCGTCCTACACCGCAGACATGGGGTCCAGACGGATGAATTATGAGCATGGAAACAATCCATCTACCGTTGGGTCGTATGAACCTCATACACTCAGCGGGTCATACGACCTGGCGACGACAGCAGCGCCTGCTGGAAGCAGAGAGATGCCAAGTCTTGTTAATGTGTGGGATCCAGACCTTACTGAAGATAACCCTGCCGAACGCAAGTACCGTCGGCTTGCGCGCGACATCCTGCGCGGTTCAATTGATCCGAATCTGAAGCCCAGTCGCGACGAAAAGGCACGCATCGAGCTTTTGCTAGCAACGCCGACGGACAATTTAAAGAACGAAGACAAGGACTTGCTTTGGAAATTCCGCTACACTTTGACGGATAACAAGAAGGCGGTAGTAAAATTCCTCCTGTCTGTTGATTGGAAAGACGAACTGGAGGTAAAACAAGCTACGGATCTGTTATCTCAATGGTGCGAAATCGATATTGCCGATGCGCTCAAGCTGCTTGGCCGTGAAAAAGAGTTTAAGCACGAGATCGTGCGCCACTTTGCTGTTTCTACTCTCGCGACAGCCAAGAATGAAGATCTTCTTGATTTTCTGTTGCAGCTTGTCCAGGCTTTGCGCTACGAAAAATCTGGCGTTGCCATCACATCTTCTCGTGGAGCTTTGAGTGGAGACGAAATGAGTTGTACAGACGGACCCATGGCTGGTGACAGCCTTGGTCCGTTAGCTCGTTTCCTTATCGCGCGCTCAAGCACGAATTTTCAAATGGCCAACTACTTTTACTGGTATTTGAAGGTGGAGGCTGGAGAGCAAACAAAGGACTCCGAGGTCTTCCACATTGTGCTGAATCAGATGCTCACGCAAATGAAGCGTGACGTGGAGAAGAAGCCGATATATGACATGCTGATGGCCCAGCGCGATTTCATGAGCCACATTTTGGCGATCCACAACAAGGCTCGCGAAGAGAAAGGCAGGAAAGACCAAAAAGAAGAGAAGCTGCGGCAGTATTTGAAGCAGTTCCCGTGGCCCAGGGGGGCCATTATTTCGTTGCCTTTGGATCCGTGTATTCATTTGAGTGGAGTTGTTCCTTCTTCAGCAAAAATGTTCAAAAGTGCGATGTACCCGGCGGTGATTCAGTTCCAAACAGTGATTCCGCCGAGTGACCAGCATCTCTGCACGAGCATTACAGAAGGTGAAGGACATAGCATACCAAATCTAAGCCAGCCGATGTTTGGCGGAACTGACGGCAACATTATGCGCGAATCGTTGCCGACCCGCATGATCAGTCTTTTGCACCGCGAAAAGGAAGGGCCGATGTACAAGTTCATGGTGAAGAACGGAGACGATCTTCGTCAAGATCAACTGATCATGCAAATGTTCATCCTGATGGATCGTTTGTTGAAAAAAGTGAACTTGGATTTAAAGCTGACTCCGTACCGTATCTTGGCGACAGGTGCCAACGACGGTTTGATGGAATTCGTCCAAGACTCCTATCCTGTATCGTACGTGGTCTCCCATTTCGAGTCGCCTCAAATCGTGGGTTTTTTGCGGAAACATAACCCAGATCCAAGTGCAGAGTTTGGGATCGCGCCCGAAGCTTTAAGCACATACGTGAAATCAGTGGCCGGTTATTGTGTACTGACGTATTTGCTTGGAATCGGAGACCGCCACTTGGATAACTTAATGATGAAAGCCGAAGGTCACATGTTTCACATTGATTTCGGCTTTGTATTTGGCGCCGACCCCAAGCCTTATCCACCTCCGTTCAAGCTTACAAAAGAAATGGTGGAGGGCATGGGTGGACCTACGAGCGAGCATTACCAGAAGTTTACGACCTACTGCTGCCAAGCGTACAACTGGTTGCGCAAGAGTGCTGATCTGATTCTGAACTTGCTCAGTTTGATGGCCGATTCTGGTATTGAAGAGCTATCAGCAAATCCTGCGACAACGCTACTGAAGGTCGAGGAAAAGTTCCGTCTGGATTTGACTGACGAACAAGCCGAGCAATTCTTTTTGGGCCTCATTAACGACAGCGTGTCTGCTCTATTTCCGCTGCTTGTAGACTGGATCCACAAGGTCGCAACAAAGCTGAAGTAGGCGATGGCGGATAGCAACGTCTTACTGTTCATGCCCGTGCGTTCCTTTTCGGTCCACTAAGTTTCAGACGGACGAACGTAGGTAGGTGAGTTGGTGTGCATCATGACTTGGTTTTTTGGTCTGGTCGTCGTTGCCCAAGGGTTCTACAACTCCGTCGGGTTTACTCGCTCTTTTTCTTCTTAGAGGCAAAACAAAGCTTTTACACTGGTACAACGAGTTCGGTCAGTCATGACTTTTGCCGCAGATGTTGCCCTTTCTGAGTTGTTTACAGCATCGCCTACCGCGTCCATCTGGACGACCTGCTCACTAAATTCCCCATCGTCATGGTTCTACACACTGTCCTGAAGAATTTAGACGTGTTTGTCGACTCCGCACAATTCCGCTCTCTCCTCTTCCGCTATCTCCGCCTCCTTCTTGTCATCACAGCTTCGCTTTCCTTCTATATTTCGCGACAAATTCCCTCTGCAGTACACTATCGCCCGCTCGCGCACTATCATTTCTCGTCTCTTCTCCTTTTACTGCCGCTTCTCGCCTTTGTGTACCGGCATGATCTCAACCCCTGCTACACCTACAATCACCGAGTCCACTGACTTGATCTCTTCCTCTTTCTCCACGTATCAATATTCTTGCCTCTTCCGAACTCCGTCCTGCCTAAATCTCTTTCCCTTTAAGCTTTCAAGTACTTGACATACTCTTTATGGCCCGAGTACCCATCTTATTTGGCCATTTGCAGTTTGCTCCGTCAAAGAGCCTGCGTCGTTAGTTGCAGCACAATGTGATGTGTCTAACTAGACGCTACACCGTCTATTCCGTCACGGGTACTTAAGGATCACGAACACCATTAACGTCGTTTGCATGTACGCATACCTGAGTGAATGCTCTTCATTCGGCGAAAGTCTCCCCATTGACATCCTAACGCGCCGCTTGTAACTTGCTCCTACTTTGCTCGTCGGTCGCTTATGTCTTTGTTGTAAGTGCATGATGCACTGGATTCGACTCCAGAGATTCGACCCATGATAGGGTATGTCTAGAATGTTCTTTAGGGTTCTATGCATTATTATAGGTCGTACGGCAGCTAGACGTATGGATAGTTCTCACTTGTAGATTGACAAACCACTGATGAGGCCCCCGGCGGGGGGCCGAAACGCGTCTGGTGCGCGGTAATATACAAGTCATTTACTTTACTTAACTCCTACTTCTTACAGGTTATGAGCCCAAGTGCTCGCTGCAGACACCTCACCAAGGACCAACTTGTGCGAGGGACACCCCGTCAGAGAAGGCGCTCGATGCACGAGTAAGGCGCCGAAGAATTCATCGACAGGGATCGTTGACGGTGCGCGTGCAGTCGAAAAGGGTTTGTGCAAGGGTGGTGACGCGAGATGGTCTGAATGCGCGAGTGCTATCGAAGGAAGAGTCAAGTCAAGTGGTGACAAGTGTATTTGTGGTCAAGAAGAAGTGGAAACTACATCCAAGGCGAACGACGACTACGAGATGTCAAGATGTGACATGGTGCTGGACGATGGGGGAGCTGGAATACCTGGAACGCTCGGTATCATCGAGGTTGGCTGGAGCGCAGGGGCAAGACTCAATCAAGATTCCCATGGTGCACGGATGCAGCAGTGAGGATTACAGGCGGGTCGATACCAAAGTGGTCTGCATCTCATGTCGTCGAGGGGGAGTGTTGTAAGTGCATGATGCACTGGATTCGACTCCAGAGATTCGACCCATGATAGGGTATGTCTAGAATGTTCTTTAGGGTTCTATGCATTATTATAGGTCGTACGGCAGCTAGACGTATGGATAGTTCTCACTTGTAGATTGACAAACCACTGATGAGGCCCCCGGCGGGGGGCCGAAACGCGTCTGGTGCGCGGTAATATACAAGTCATTTACTTTACTTAACTCCTACTTCTTACAGTCTTGCAAGACTCTGTCAGTAGCGCGTCTATGCTTTGGCCACCGCGTACTCGCCTACGAGCAAATTTTCTGTTGTCACCCAATTTCTACTGCTGTGGCGTAGGTACGTGCGTCATGCCACCTCAAGCAGCAAATGTATCTCAAGCGTTACATTCTTCCCCAAAACAGTAAGTAGGATAATCTTTGCTTCAGTAATTTTGCGAAAAATTGAAGCAGTCATTAGAGTGATTGATACTTGAAGGTTAGCTTTTGGGTGCGAGTACTAATTTATGGCGTCAGATGTCGGTTGGTACAACAGGTGATGTTGTCTCATTTAAAATACGGTAATATCTCCCGAACAGAGTATCGTACAACAATTTTTTACATTTCAAAAATGAAGTGGTGAATCAGTTAGGGATTCCGAATCTAATTTTACAAGGTGTTTGAGTAGATAAACATGGTGTTGTGACGTTTCGGCCACTATACAATATTTGTATGCCGGTATCTCTAAATTAAAGATAGGAGAGCAAGCTCTGGAGCTCGCCCTTAGAAACATAAATGACATTGTCCATAATGCTGAATTACGTTCTGTACATACACGAACCTTGCGCTCAGCTACTGACAGTTTGACCCTTCAAGATTGCAAAAAAGGCCTGTTAACAATGAAGAAATGATAAATGCCACAAATGATTCAGTACGACGTGTTAGGTACATCTAGCGCTCATATGCAGTCACATAGAAGGGAGTATTCACGAATACCACATATTTAAATGGTACGGATGTCGATATAAAAACTCAACTTTAAAACAGATGGATAATGTAGTGTCATTTTCTGTACTTGCCCCCTCCTGCCCATCCTTTCGCATTTCGCGCGACTGCGCGCGAGGCCTACCCTAGACATCCCCCTACATTGCTCGGGGTCAAGGAGCAAACAATACCATGCTGCCGCTTCGAAACCAAAATTTGCTGTTAAGTAAAATGATGATTAATTAATCTGATAGCACTTTTTATTATGAAAATTGTTCCAACAATTACATAAATACTATGATAACCTGTTAATATAAAAATATTATACCATGAATACTATCAGATATTAAAAATGAATTTTTGATATATTCAAATGCTTGATAGAAAGTAACAAAAGCTAATAAAATGGTAATAATCAAACTTGAATCCGCCGTAACTGAAATTCTGTGAAAAGAGGCTGGGGCAGACCGTCTTTGTGTACACAGCAAATATCAAGGAATGGGAGGATAAAGATGTCACGAGGTCGAACCGTTGCACAAAATTTCCGTGTAAGTCACGGCAAAGTCTGAAAAAGATTCTCAAAATGCGGTACGCACTTAGACTTTTTATCTGGTAGGGGTTCAGCAATTGCGTACCTACCACAAAGTGTGTGTCACACACTGATGACGTCACTACTTAACGTCATTACATGATGGTATTGAAGTACTTCATCAGCGCGTTCACATTCAGTATAAGTGCGCTGGTAAGATGGCGTTTGTCAAAGAGTGCGTGTAATTTTTAGTCTTTTAGCTAATCAAAATCTGATTTTTGTTTAATTCATCAAATGTAAATCATTGTTTGGTTTGCAAACTTTGTAACGCGTGTGCAGGAGGACCGGAAACCGCGTCCGAGACACACCCACTTCAAGCGTAAATCTGTTAGTGAGGAAGTTGTAGGATGTTAACCTTCTGCGCACGAAAAAAAAGTCGGTAAAACTGACCTTCCTCGCTGGTGCCTGTAGGTGTTTGTTTGGGTGGCGCGTCGCAGCTTTAAGCGCCCGCAAACCAAACAAATTGTAGAATTAAGCGTGGTACACGTTAATTTTATCGTGAGGTGGTCCCACTAATGTGACTGGTGCCGGCTGTGCAAAATTTGCATCCAGTTGGTGCCGGTTTTGCGGATTACTCTACTTGTGCTGGGTGAAAGGGTAGGCGTGTCTTTTTTTGTGCTTACTAAGATGCTGTTTTACACACAATCGAACTGACCAACGACGCCTTGTTTTCCCAGTACTACATAAGTAAATGAAATGGAAATCCTAAATAATTAGCATGAAATTAAAGAACGCTTCAATCCTGACCATGACTTCTCTTGCATGCTTAATAGATGGCGTATACCAGACCGCTTAACCAAGGGTTGGTAAAAAATCGATCTTTAGACTGCTTAGGTCAGAAGACTGTTTGCACATGAATATCAACGCTAACATTATATGCAGTAGCACCATCTATAGATACTGTTTCTGTGCTACGAAGTAGGTCGCTTTTGACAAGTCGTAACGGCTAACCGATCTCGACTGGCACAAGCGAGCATTTCAGCACCTTATCAATCGCATGTACCACTATAGCTAGAGCGTTGAAGCTTTACGAATCGGCCCAAACTACTATGTAGACGAGCTTCAATAACTACATATGTAAAGAATTAAGTTTGCAGAACCTTTTTATGACCACGATCACGACCACGTCCTTGCAAGAACGATACAGCATCTGACTTCTGGGCAGCACCAGTATGACACTAAGGATTTTTAAAAGTACCGCGAGGGATATGTAGAAGCGTGTTCTAATGTGCTTGCTGTATTCTTCTGCAATTGAACACTAGTAACCTGCTAAAAAGTAACGCATTTCTTATAAAAAAACATGGCCATTGCACGCTTGCTGGCCTATGTATCAATCTTGGCTGATAAGGTGAACCGACACTTGAAAGTGTGGGTTAATCGAGATGCGACGCTTCCGCGACTATCACTATACGATTACTTGTGTCGGTTCCTGTACTGGCCATTATAATACAATTGATTCAAAGTTTTCTGGTCTCGTTTGCGCGTTACTTTATTGAGCTACTACTTGATGATTATAGCTGTCATTTTTTTTAATTATTTATTTACCGCATAAGAAGTATTAGCGTTTCCCAATTAGTCAGCTACTACTGAAAGACTTCGTTAAAGGTGGATTACCTGAAATCACGGGTTTGATGTTTTCTCAGCGCAAACCTTTAGCTACAATTTCTTCGGACCCAATATCACAGTGTCTATTTAGCTTATAATATAAAAGCTTTAAAATCGTATGCGTTCGTATTTTTTATTGTGGCAAATGTGTAATTTAAGCAGC